TCGATTTCAACTTAAAATTGAATTTTTTTACCAAGTTATGTGAAAAAGCCTAACTTCAACGCGAGGAAAACCTTGAACCTTATATTAACCTTACAAAGTGAACAAAATTATTAGAATATTAGTGTAACCTCATATTACATCAGAAATCACCTATCTCTTTTTCAAAAGCCACTATACTTGTGTTTGGATTGGGGTGAAAATTTGTAGGAGTAGATTTGAGGTGATTTAGAGTGAATTATGGGGTTGTTTAGATTGAGGACAATGTAGTAAATTTAAAAGGATTTGAGTGAATTTCCTTATTGACGGGACTGAATATAAAATAATTGAATAATAGTTAGTATAGTGTAATAACCCAAAATTCCTTATTATGGTAATAGATAAATTAAATAAAAATGATAATTATGATATAATGGAATGTAAAAATGTTAATTAATTTATATTATACATAATATTTAAATATAATAATATTATTTCATATATTAAGTATAATTAAAATTATTTTATATATTAACTATAAAATATTTTTTGTTATATTCTCATAAAATATTTACATTTTTCTTTACTATAACAAATAAAAACTTAGTACAAAATTAATCTGAACTTCAAATTGCATATTATGTGACCTAAAAGTTATCTTATAATCTAACTTATAATTTATCAAATTTGTTGAATTATTGGCAAGTGTACCAAATTATCAATCGCAGATATAGTATTTCGATTAAATAAAAGTCGATCCCACGAGGAACAGTTTCAATGGAAATTCCCAATTATGCTTACTAAGTAGATTAAAACAGATTAGGTTTTGCAAATAAGAGTTGAATTGAAATTAAATGACAAAGACTTGTAAATTGTTGAGAAAATATCAATTAAAGGTACTTAGGATTGACTTCCTTCCTTATCCCTCTTTTGTAATGACTAAATCAATTAAGAACGTCAATTAACCTAACAATGTTGATGCCACCTACTCAAATCATCCATGTTGATTCCTCACACATGAAATTCATAAGAAAACCTAATAAATGTTGATTCCTCACACAATTAACAGATTTTCCAGCATTAGGGTTAGGATGTTAAGCAATTGATACATTCATTCCATTCCTGGCAATTAACGTAACAAATATTCTTATCGTGATCTAGGGTTTAAGATATATTTTCCAATCATACCTCAAACAATCAAGAATAAATCATTCCAAAGCATAAATGATAAGAATAACAACATCAAAACATAGATTAATATATCAAAATATCACCATGATACAAAAGAGTTCAAAGGAAGTGCACCGAATCCTAAGAGAATGAAGTTAGCCACTCATGTTGACCATTACAATGCTTCAATTGATGAAGAAGAATTGATGAAGATTGGACAAAACCCTAACAGTAGTCGTGCCTCCTCTCCTCCAAGACTGCTTGTTTTTCTCAAAACACAACTTATCTTTTTATAAGAGAATTTGGGCCGGACCTCGCATCATTTATTCGCTTAAGCGCTCTTCTTTCTTTCAATTTTACTCTAATTATGCTGACAATTATGCTCCTTTCTTTTGTATCAAGGTATTCTCGAATTCATCCTATATTGGGAGAAAAATATATTAGAATTAACATAAGTTAAGTGGTTTCATAACAATTCAAGGCATAATTATATAAACTTTTTACCACTTAACAAAATTCAACTTTTAATTTTTCATATTTTAACCACAAATTTCTCAAATACAAACTAAAAGATTTCACATCTAACTTAAGATGTAATCAATTGATAAATAGATTTTATCAATAATTTTATTAATATAATTTATATATATTTAATGTATTTTATTAATTAATTATTAATAGCTAATATAGTTTTTGTAAAATAAAAATAATATCTTAACACAATTATTTCTTAAATTGTACATTTTAACTAATTATTTATTTATTTTTGCATGAATGATAAATTAAAGAAATTGTAAAGTCGAAATAGTGGAATCGCTTGAGCGCTTCGGATTTAGGCTAGAGTGAACCACTCAATACTTTTTGATCCACTAAGTATAATCAGTCCAGAGAACTCCTCCTCCGAAAAATAAGCAACTCACTAAGTGCTTTCCAATCCGCTCATCAGAATAATCTTGTATCAACCGCTCATCGCTTTCCAATATGCTAAACGGATTATGCTAGAACTCTTGTAACTATTTTAACCATAATTCCACTTAGTGCTTTCTAATCCGTCGAGCGGATTTATCGAATTTCATTTTTACTTAATATGAGTAATTGCATAATCGATTATATAGAGCCCATAATCGATTATGCCATACAATAATCGAATATCCTATGAGTCTTAATTGAATATTATCAAATATGGCACACAAATATTCGATTATTATTTGATAAATAATCGAATATGATTCATCTTTCCTTAATATTGCACTTAACCAACCCAACATGCGTTCAGAATAATGTGTATATCTATGATTTTGCACTCCAACACAAACCAATGAGAAGCCAAAAATTTAATCATCAACAAATACTACAACCAAGCCATGAATGAACTTACTTACTTGAACTCCTAAATTGATTGAAGATGCAGTGGAAGATTTTCTTGATTGTAACTTTCCTTCCTTCAAGTGGAAGAACAACAAATGCAACTCCTCTTACTCAAACCTTCTTCACTCAGACCAAACAACTCGTTGAAACACAACAAAGCTTTCACATAATGTGTCCAAGCTAACATGACCACAGCAATTGTGACTCGGCCCACCTGACCTTCGTCACAGGACAATTGATGCTACCTGCAACAATCTCTCCCTCAGCAATTGTCCTACAAGGTATCCCACTCTTGGATTGTGACTTGGCCCACCCGGCCTCTGCCACGGGACAATTGTGCAACCTGCAACAATCTCCCCCTCAACAATTGCCCACCAGGAATCGAACTCGTGACCTTGGCTCTGATACCAATTGTTAGGATCGAGCGCTTACCACTAGGCCAAAAGCTATAGCCATTAGTCAGAGCGCATCTCCTTTTACTTTAACAGCCCAAGCGCCACGATTCAATTGTGACTCGGCCCACCTGACCTTCGTCACAGGACAATTGATGCTACCTGCAACACTAAAACCTTCAATGATATTTATAAGTCTTCTCTTTCATTATTGTGTAATGGCCACAACACCACCATCTTGTTACCATTAACATGCGCCCAAGACCATTACAACACTTTTCGCGCAGAGGAATCCAGTAGAGATGTGCAACTAACGTTATTAACTTTTTTTCACTGTTTACCGGTGTAGAAATTAACTTTCCACTTTTCACTGCATGTGAACGTTGCAAAGAACCTTGGACTGTAGTGTGCATGCGAAGTTCCAATTTTTTTCACGTACCTAACCATCTTCATCTCAATTATTCACGTGTTGTTAATCTTATTATTATTATTATTATTATTATTATTATTATTATTATTATTATTATTATTATTATTATTATTATAATATGTATTTAGCTGTTGGTGACCTCAATCATCCCAACATGCACACAATTCATCATGTATCAAATTCAGTGAAATTCAGTGACATTGAAGAGAAAATATTTTTGTCTTTCAATCCCCACCTTTTTCACTCATTCTTCAAATATTTGGAAGGGATTGGAGGGGATGAGTCTCATCTTTCATCAGCGCAAATCTGTCTACAGATAAAAGGCTATTGATAGATACATACCAACTGCATGTGCATCAGAATATGAACTAATTGCTTTGGTAATGCTGTGAACTTATCTGCATCAATACCTAGTATTTGATGTGATTGGATAATGTAGCTAGATAGGGTTCTGAATCTCCTTCAATTAGTCTGTGACTGAACTCGATAGGTACGTGCTTGGTTAACCTCTCCAAATCTTCCTTCTGTTCAAAATCACATATACCAAGAATCTATGTTACAATTAGTTGGAATATTAATTTATTTAACTTTCAATAGTGCATATATAGCATAGAACATATACTGGTTAAATTCTAGTCATATGCATTGAATAGCCTGTGGCAAGCTTAAATTTTTGGAATTTTTTTTTAAACTACTTTTCTTTATGAGACATAGAATGATTCCTACTACCAAATAAAATAATCTAATAAATGGGTGAATCAAATTCGATTATTCCCTTTATTATTTATTAAATTATAGATAAAACATCATACAAATATTTTATATTTAACTTTTATAAAGACTAGTTCATTTATTTCTACTTCGGTCTTTTATTGAGTGATAATAATATTTCTTTTTCATAATTTACAATTTAACTAATATGAAAAATTCGTTAGTATTTTAAATTAGATTTTATAAAAAGGACATCTTATCTCACAATCAGCAGAAGATAACATTATTCACTTACAATTACTCATCTTGTTTAATTTTATGTTTAGTTTGTAGAAATGTTAGTAAATATCAGGTTTAGGGTTTAGGGTTTAGGTTTATTAATTAGGGTTGATAAATTAAAATAATATTTAATTTTAAGAATATACCTGATTTTAATATATTTTGTATGTGATTTGATTAATTTTTGTTTTAAATTATTCATATTAATTATTATAAACTTTAAATTTTATAAGTTCAACGAAAATAATTTTATTTATGATATAATTGTACAATATTTAAATTTAATTTATCATTTCAAAACTAAAAACATTTTTCATTTAGCACAATATGAATTATATTTCAAGTATAAAATTTTCTGATAGAAATATTGTGAACTCATAATTAAATATATGTGCGTGTATGCATGGGTTAAAAACTGGTAAGTAAATTAAATTCACTTATACTGTTTTAGACAAGTAAAAAATAATTGACCGTAATCCGTAAAAAAACCCATGTATAAAAAGGCGACGTTGATGCCCTACGTGAGATTAGGGTTTCTGCTGCCCCCGCACTCCCTCTCAGACCGACAACGGTCATCGTTGATACTTTCAAAGAACTCTCTCAATCTTTCTCAATAATGTCATAAGAGAAACAACGAAGAAGAAGCGTAAGAGGAGCCCTAGAGAAGGAACAAAATGAAGAGATACCGTGGCAGCAAGGTGCAGAAAGTGAAAGAGGTGGTGGTTCTGCCACTGGAATTGATTACCCAAATCCTGTTGAGGTTGCCGGTGAAGTCTCTTGTTCGATTCAAAAGCGTGTGTAAGTCGTGGCTAACTCTGATCTCTGATCCTCACTTTACAAAAATGCATTTTGAACTAGCTGCAGCCCCCGCACAGAGACTAATGCTGATTTCTGGTAGGGCTTTGGCTCCTAAAGTCCTATCGTTAGACATGAATGCATCCCTAAACAACTATTCTGCTTATGTTGAATTGAAAGTATCCTGTGCAGCTTTTCCCTCTACTTTTGTTAGAATCGGAGGTTCTTGTCGGGGATTTTTACTTTTGGACTGTTTTCGCCATCTATGCCTGTGGAATCCATCCACAGGAATCCACAAACAGGTTTCTTACTCACGCATGGCGACCAATGGGGATATCTTGTTTTCCATGTTCCGGGGTTTTGGCTATGACCCATTAACAGATGACTACTTGGTGGTTCAACTGTTGGACAGACTCGGTAAACCTGGAAACTTGGCGGAGGTATTCTCTGTGAGAGCTAACAAGTGGAAAAAAGTTGAGGCTATCGATATGATGTTTATGCCCACAGGCTCTAGGTTTAGTCAAAACATGTGCGGCTTGCTGTTGAACAACTGTATTCATTGGTTGACCTACTGTATCAAGCTACCGATGATTCTTTCTGTTATTTTTGCTTATGATTTAACAGAAAGGAGGTTTTTGGAGATACCTCTGCCAGTTGATTTTGATGATAATAAGTTGCACTCTCGTGTTTTGAGGGAACTTGCAGGGTTTCTCAATCTATGTGCTACTGTGGAGTGGAACTATTCGCTAGAAATATGGGTGATGAAAGAATACAAAGTGCAATCATCTTGGACAAAGACTATTGTTGTGTCTCTTGATCATTTACCTACTGGACTCTTCTTCCCAATTTGCTCAACAAAAAATGGTGATATTATTGGAAATGATGGGGAGACTGGATTGACCAAATGTAGTAAGGAGGGGGAGCTGAAGGAGAATCGTCCCCATTGTAATGTTTCATTCAGACACCCTTTGGCTGTCTATAAAGAGTCTCTACTTTCACTCCCTTGTCACACCCAGCAGGCTGTTGAAGATAACTAATAATATTTTGATAGACATCTTATATTATGGTTTATAATTATTCTTGGATATTAAAGCATGTAATGTTGGTAGAATGATGAGATTGCTATTTCCTCATCATGTTCTCTTTTATGACTCTTCAAAACATGATGCTATTTCCTGATTATGGTATGCAATTTATATTCTCCTTAATACTGAATTTATTACTCTCTAGCATGCATGATATGTGATATATAGAGGTCCCTTCAATATTGAAAGGCTATGGTGGTGGTTTTTCCCATTTAACCTCGATTGTTCTTACATTCTTCTCTTCCCTACATTTTGCGTATCTCCACATCCACATTGTTATTACCATTTATGGTGGCTATTACATGACATTTTGTGAAGTATCAATGTTGGATTCCATGCGTGTATTGGCATTTGGCAAGAATATGAAGTTGCCTTGTACAGTGCATCTGAGAAGCTGGAATTACTCTACCTATTTTAGTAGCCTGAAATGCTACACTAAATACTTACTCATAAAGTTGAAGTGGTTAATCTTTTTACTATTTGATAAAATGTTAATACAATTTTTTAAACGAATTAAAAATAGATTTATTAGATTCAATTGTCAATATCACTAGTATTCATCCTTTTACAATTAAGGTATCTGTTTATGTTATGTTTATTGTAGGGTAATAATTGTTTATTGGAGTTTAATTCATTGTTGAAAAAAAAACCATTTTGGTGTATATTTTTTACATTTTGGTGTTATATATATAGAGAAGGGAGACTCATTCAATTATTAGAGTTTTACTCATCATTTTTATCATATTTTTATAATTTAATGATTAAAGATAATAATTAAAAGTTCTATAAAAAAAGGTGTAAACAATGATAATAAAGTTTTAAGCCTTATTTTTAAAGTATACATGAATTCTTTTTCATATATATATATATATATATATATATATATATATATATATATATATATATATATATATATATATATATATATATATATATATAAAGATTCATTTATTTTATATTAGACACCTATTTTTCATTATCATCGTTGATTTTCTTAATCATTTTAGAATAACATTCATTCTCTTAATTATTATATTTAGGTAAATTATTATGTAAGATTGATTATCTTATAATAAGATTGTAAAAGTTTAACTAGAAAAACTCATTCAATAATTTACTTTTGTTGCATTGAAATTTTTATTTTGTATTTTAATGGTAGATATATTGTAATCCCACGTTAAGAAGTGTTATTGTTATTTTTCACAGTTGAAAGGTACTTTAATTACAAATTTATATTTTGATATCTTGAAATATATGTTTGGCAGTATTTTTGAAAATTATTTCTATTTATAATAATTTTATACCCAAATGTTTTTATAATATTGTAATAATTTATTATTTACTATCAATGACAAATAAAATTATAATTTATAAGCTAGATATACATTAAAAAAATCTTTTAAATTTTAACTATAGCACATACTCAATTTTTTTCTGTTTCAAAGAATTTCGTTGAATCTTAGAAATATAAATAATATTAAAAATATGTTGAATTTCCATATATAAAAGAAAGAAAGTGTATAGTAAATATTTTTTTCTCAAAAATAATAATATTTTTTAAATATAAGATAAATGTACAACAATAATTAAAAAATTAATAAAGATGTGACATTAAAAAGTTACTAATTATCTTATCATCTTGATAAAATGAAACAAATTTGACATATTTTAATTTTTAAATCATATTTTTCATTTTCAATACAGATTCATCTTAGTTTTAACAACAGAAGCAAGATTATAATTGATTTACTTTTTTGAAGGAAAAGTATATAAAAATACTTAATTTAACTTAAATTATTTTATTTTTAATCAAATTATTTCATGAAGAAAAAGTAAAAGTTACTTGGAGGCTATTTTTAAATTTTAAATCATAATTTTATTTTTTAAAGATAAATTTCTCTTACTAAACTGATTTAATATGTTAAAATTATTTAATTTATTTTGCCTTAAATTCATTTAAATTTAATCAAATTAATTTGATGAAAATATTATATTAAAGAAGATAAAAAAAAAAACAGTTTTAGATAAAACATCCGGGAGCTAAATAAAATCTCAATTATACTTAAATATGATCTTTTATTCGTATCAGTATTAACAGTTATGACTTTTGTAAACAAATTTAAAATTATAAAAATATTAATAAAGATGATTTATCTATTTATAGTATTTTTTTAGTTTATCAATTTTTTATGTTTTATAATTACCCAAAAATGATAAAAAAATCTCTATCATGACTTACTCCATTTTAAATACTTTACCCACATTTTTTTTGTTTTTATTATTACCGTTAAAAAATCTCTATTTTTAGTTACTTACTCTATTTTAATTACTTTACCTACCTTTTTTTCTTTTGTTGATAATTACCGTTGTAAAAAAATTCATTATATCTTCTTTTTCTTTCCTTCTTAATTTGTTTCTTTGTTATTTATTTATGCACGGCTAATCCTCAGTTTGCTCTTTGAAGTTTCTTATTTAAATGTTTTTTATTTCTTCTCTCTTTTCTTAAATCTTTGAAGTGAATGTTTACACTAAATATATTTTGGATTTTCTCATTATAATTATTTCAAATACTTTATATACTAATAGTAAAACTGGTATAAAAACTCTAAGATGTTTTATATTGTTTAATTCTTCTTGTGTAACTTGTTTTGACGACTTACTCTAAATAAAAAAAAATCCTATTTTGAACTTTTTAAATTATCTATAATAATAAAAAGAGGTAAAACAAAAGCTATGGTTTGATTTGAAATAATGTTATACCAAACATGTATTTTTTATAATTTTTCCTAAAAGATAATAAAAAAATCTATATAGACGCGTGTCTAAGTCAGATGTTAGGGTTTTTGCAGCCATCTCCCTCTCATGCCTCCATATATACTGACAAAAGTCGATCCGGGTAAATCGGACCAACATTACTTCTCTCTATTCTTTCTTTCTCCTGTTATATACAAAAATTAGGAGACTAAAAGATGATAAAAAAGAATATTTCAATGCATCCTTGTTGATTAATTCCCATGGGTAGATCTTATGAAAAGGTAAAAATAATAGGTTCTAGGTTTTTACTTGTAGACTGTTTTTGTTATCTTTGCATTTGGAATCCATTTACTAGGGTCTACCAAAGTTTTTTATTCACCTATTGCTTGTTTTAATGGTACTACTACCATTTCTCAAGTTTTTCGTTATGACCCATCAACAAATGATTACTTGATCATTCTTCCAAAGTTTAGATAACCCTGCAAATTGTATTGAGTTGTTCTCACCCAAAGAAAATACTTTTCACTTGTAGAAACAATCATAATTATTGTATGGAATTAACTCTATCTGGAATGATTTAAACAACTCTATTCATTGGTTAGCTTCTTATCCGCATATAGGTACAGGTGTAGCAATGGATATTATTGTTGCCTTCGATTTTAAGGAAAAAAATATTACCAAATATATTTGCCAACTAATTTTGAGGTGGACTAGTTACGCGTTTATGTTCTTGTAGAATTGCTCAATGTTATTAAGGTTTACAGCTTCCATTCTATAGAAATATGGGCGGTGCAAAAATACAAGGTGCAGTCATCTTGGTCCAAAACCATTGTTGTGCGTCTTGTCTTGAAGATATTCACACGCTATATTTCTTTCCAATTTTCTCTACGAAAAGTGGTGATATTGTTGGGAACGATGGGTATAACGGATTGGCAAAATGTAATGAGAAGGGAAAGTTTAAAGAGTTTAGAAGGTATTTTGGAGGCGAATAGAGACTCAATACGGCCATGCTTATGTACACAAAGACTCTACTTTCACTCCCTTGTGCTAACGACTAGGCTGTAGAAGGAACAAGATGAATTATGCTGTGAAAACTTTCCTCATACGCCTTACCCTTACCATTTTCTCAAACTCATCCTCTATTATTTTTAATGAATTCTTTCGCTATATTAATGGTTCATGATATGATGAAATTTCTATTATATTATGACGTTATGTTTTATGATTGATCCAGTGCTGTTATTATCGATTTTTATTTGCAATTTAAACCCTTCCATTGTTTACCGTGTTTTTTAGCATGGCCTGATTACTGGATTTATTTCATCGCTAGCATGATGTGCAGCTAAATTTCCACGGAGAAAATTTTGATACCGTTTTTACTGTTCTATAATTAGGATTATAATTTCGTATCGATTATCTATATGATTCTTTAATACAAATCTTTATTACAAAATTTACTAAAATAAAATTCAATTATAATTGAATAAACAACACCTCAAATATTATATTTAAGTTTTGTGTACTTTGAAATTAAGAGAAACAGTTGATAGTTGGTAACACTATTGATTTTAACTGAAACACTGAATTCATTACCAGTGACTGTGAACCTTGATGTCTAATCTAAGCTACTGCATCACATACGGTGAAGCCAATATTATCACCTGCACCAAATAAAAAGTGTTTAATTTTATATTGGATGAAGACATTGTTATAAATACAAAGTTTTTTTACTATATTTATTGGGATGAATATGAAGTAGCCTAGTAGTGCACCAATTACTCTACCATTCTTGCAGGTTGAGATGCTTAACTAAATACTTACCAATAAAATGAAACTTATTAAACTTCTGCTTGTAGTGCCTAATTTATTGAAGAATATGAATTGTCTGGTTTGGGAATTTAAAGCATGCATGCGGATTAGTGAACTTAGTTTTCTCGCCATTTCTTCCTTAAACGATGCAATGGGAATTTATGAGAGTACCATATATAGGTCCCAGGTGGGAACATTTGATACAGAAAGGTGATCTTGTAAAAGGAGTGGTTATTAACATGTTACAACAACTTGATTCGTAATAGTCTTCTGGTGCAGCATATTATATCTTGCATTTTATTAATGAAATTCGTTAGTTGATGAACAATCATAGCTTTAAGTACAAAGATATAACAAAGTAGCTTACAAAAATCACAATAATAAATAACTTGGAACCACTTGAAGACGAAGTTTACTAGGTAATAAACAAAGTAGCTTCTTCGCCAGGAAAACATGACACTGCTAGCTAGCATTTAAAACATTTTCTTGGATATGCTTCGAAATTATTATAGCCTATACTATAATTAAAGATTAACCTTGGAAAGTGTAAAAATTATCTGAAAATTAGTGCATATATACATATATCATTCGAGCCAATACTTGGTAGAAATCTTGTCATATAAGATTAATAGCCTTTTCTCTTCAATGTCTTTTATAAACATTTCTCAACTATATCTCTTGGTTTTAAGATTTGAAAGTTACTTCAGCATTCTTTAGCACAAATGTAAGAGGATGGTGCTTTACCAAGGCGATGAATTGTCGTTTGCTGCATTACATGAGAGAAGTGGAAGTTTACAGGTACTAAAGAAAAGTAGCTTCGTGGCCAGCAAAAATTAGTGTAAATAGAAAAACAAATTGCGAGACATAAGAGAGTGCAAAGATTTACACATTTTCTCGGGTGTGCTTCGAAATACCTACGCTGATTCAAGATTTGTTAAGAAAATTAGTGTAAGAAATTAGAAGACAGGATTCGGTAAAGTTTCTGATACAAATTGGTATTGCACTCTCGTAAGTTGTGCAAGTTATTATCTGTTTATAATAAAGTCGTGAGTGTGGTTATGATTGTGTTCCAGCATTTGGTTAAATAAACTTGTGGTAAGCTGGTAGGTGAACATAATACAATATGGTGACTTGGGCTTGAAGAGTGAACTCGATTTCTGAGTGTGGTCATTAATCTATCTGTAGTTTTAGCAATTTAGGATCCTCCACTCCTAGTTTTGATTGAAAGCAGCAGTACTGAAAAGATTTCATAAATTATTAGAATTCTAGCCGATTAAGTTATACATTAGGATTAAAAGTTTCTTTTGTCTCAAGTGTAATGTAAGAGCTTTTCTTGCCCTGTCATCCTCGTGCCTAATAAAAAGGTTTCCTTGTACTTAACAAGGAGTTGCTTGTACCAACTTGCTGACAATTTTGGAGTTCTATTCAGGGTTGCATAATCCACATGATGGAATCCATATCTTATTGTATATCCATATATCCACTCAAAGCTGTCGAGCAAGGACCAGGCAAGGTATCCCCTCACATCTGCTCCTTTCCTGGAACCAAGAGAGGGTTGGAGAGAAATCACAAATCTACTTTATGATCATGTTTGTTTAATCTCGAAGTAAACAGACATGATGGAGTTCCAGCACTTTGTTAAATAAAATTGTAAGACGATGCTAAATGAATATACTAGAGAATAATTTAGTCAATATTGGAATTCTGGAATAGGTTTTCATACACATACTATTCTATTTTATTTTGCTAGATTTTTTTTCTAATTTTTTATATTCTTACCTTATTGCTGCTACCAGCGCCTTTATGTGATCCATCATGTACTTTATTCTTTTAGAATCATTAAGATGCTCTTCCGAAGTGGAATTTGGATCATCTTCTTCGGGATACCCTATAATTTGTTTTTTGCATTATCAGCAATGAACAAAATGTGCGCAAAGAAAACAAATGTTTAATAGGTGTTGCTTACCATTTTCAGTTATGAACATTGGAGTATTGTTGTATCTATCTCTCACATATGTGACTACTTTTTCCAAACCATCTGGGTAAATATTGAACCAACTAAATTTAGTCTGCAAAACATTAGAAGATTCAGAATTGGTTAAGTATGGAAGTAAAGGTTATCTATGATCTTTGTAAAATGTTTGAGGGCACGTACAGGTTCACCGATTGGGACACCATTCCTTACTCCACTTTTCATGTATAAACCCTCTGTTCTGGAGTTCCCCTGTCCTGTCTCACATGCCGAGTACATGCAATCTTGGACATAGGAAGCTGTGTAGTAATTGACACCGATGAAATCCAATCCTTTCTTGAGTTTCTCTTTTTCTTTGCTGGAAAATTTGGGTAAGAGGCTTCCAAGAAGGTTCTCCATTTCTGTGGGATACTTTCCCAATATGATTGGGTCCAAGAACCTGAATTATAATAAAGTTTATACTCTGGTGCAGTCGAGTGAGCAATAATAGAAAGGACTATTAAGGGAGAACTATACCAATTGAAGGTGAACGATCTTGCTCTTTCCGCTGCCAATTTGTCAGCTGTTGAATTGCTCAATGGTTCATACCATTCATGTTGAAGGACTATACCAATGCTTCCTTTTTGCTCGGTCTAATGTTCGATCCACGGAGTGCAATTTTTTAAAAATTGAAATTGGTGTCATCTAATGTTTTGATCAAACAACCGGATTTCCAAATTTTTTTTTGGTGTTATCATAAATTTTTATCTTCTCTTTTAGGATACTACAGTTATGATGATGAGAAGTGCACATACCTGGTATTTGGTTCTATAGATATCAACTGCAGCTGCATGTGCCAGGATAATGTTATGAGCTGCTACAAAGGGCTCCTTTTCTGAATCTCCTTCACTGCATTGAACCATGGCTAATGGGCCAGAGCAACGGCATGGAGGATATAAACCTGTACGGTAACCAAGTGGCACTTGGAAATTCGGCTCATTGAATGTGACCCAGTGCTTAACTCTGTCACCAAAGGTTTTAAAACACAGGTCCGCATAAAATGCAAAATCTTCCCTGTTCATAAAAAAAAAAAAAATGAAAATATGATTATATTTAGAGTTCCAATCATAAATGTGGTATTGAAACATCTTCAAGTAAACAGTAAACTGGTTTCTCACTGTGATTGAGGACTTAGCCAGCTCCCATATCTGTGTTCCAGCTCTTGGGGACTGTCATAGTGACTTAGAGTCACAAAGGGTTGGATCCCTGTTGAGAAAAGAAGATCCATGTCCAATGAATTTACACTCTAAAAGGAAAGAGTAATGTTTGTTACATGGGGTTTTTCTTCACCTAATCTTAAGCGTAAATTAACCAATTGGCAAATTTACTTCTTAATTATGTATTTTGCTGGTGAGGTTTGTGAAGAAAATCCTCCGGGTAACTATCATTAGTGAAAATAAAAATTGTTACCTTTGAGTATTAGAACATCAATTAGTCTGTTGTAAAACTCTATACCGGCACGGTTGGCCTCTCCAAATCTACCCTCTGTTCAGAATCATATATACCAAGAATCTGTTACAATCTTAGATGGAATATTAATTTAATTCACTTTTAATAATGCATTTGAGCATACTTGGTAGAATTCTTGCCCATGATATGGATAACCGGTAGCTGTTTACTCCCAAAGCGTCCATTAGATCTATATCCTCCTGTGTTTTGCTCCACATTGAAATTGAAATTATGAAAAATATAAGAGGTTTTGAATTATATGCTGAATTATAAATTATAATTGTAATAAATAAAGTGAAACTCTTATTTTCTCAAATTCTTATCAATAAATTATCGGTATTGTCTCATCTCTTATTTATAACTTCTCTAGTGGTATATTTGATTCTCTTGACTGTTCATCGGCGGTTAGATAATTTTTTAAAATAAATTTTCAATAGTTAAAATTATACCATTGTTATTATATTTTAAAATATAATATATATATATATATATATATTAAAAAATATATTTATTTTCCATAAAATTTAAATGTATAATATTAGACTATAGGTGAATATATAGCAGGAATGTTGAAATAAATTTAGTTGAATAAATCTATTCAATAAATTCGACAAATAAGTTAAACAAAAAATTTATAACATAAATTAAATCGTATCAATCTTGAAATGATTTTTTTAAAGAGCATGATGGATTTAAATTAGACTAATCTATATATTTATTTAA